AGAGAAGGAGGGGGATCTTTGCAGAAATGTGCACATTTTGGAGCCCATCTTTGAAATGGAAAATACAGAAAGCAGTTTAAAAGATACTTATTTTGTTAGATTAAACAAAAAACTATTATTAAGTAAATGTAGTTATACTTTAGTAAAGTGTACAAGCATTCTTGTCCATGTCTCAAATTTAAAAAAAAATTAATATTATTTTTTTTTTTTTTAAAATAAAACTTAGGTGATCATTATTTACCCCACAAACAGAGTGATCGTGAATTACCCCGGGTCACCCTACTATTCAAGAAACAATGCCTAACAATGCAGTCTAATTTGAATAGATTATGATGATAAAAGAGATTAGACGTCTTGCGTCTAGATATACGGACGGTATTGTACGTTTTGTACAGTGTCTATAAGAGAGAAAATAAAATACAAACGTATTTTATTAATGCTAATTTTGTTCTTCCAAAACATTCAAAAACTTTTCTTTTTTTCCGTTAATGTCGAATTTTGCTGAGATCATCACGAAGAAAAAAGTTCTGGTAAAACTACATTACATTATCGTAAAAACATTGAAAAAAGAGCATATTCCGGTTAATGAAACTAAATTATACGATAGTTAAACGATTCATATATGATAGCGGCTTCCGTTTATACGGTAACTCTTCACCGGAAATTATGGTTTTCAAAATTATAGTTCTTGTGTTAACATTTAGTAAAAATAGAAAACTAAAAAGTATATTGAAGCAAATAAATGGTTTTTATGCTATGCTCTAAGGCAGTGTTTCCCAAACTTATGACTTTTGTGTATCCTTTCTAAATTTTTCGTAACGCTCTGTACCCCTAATAAAAAATGGAATGCATTTTTTGCTATAAAAAATTGCTCAAAAATTGAAAATCACTATTGGCTGTTGACACCACTAATTATTAACTGTTATCTCTGCAAAAATAGCTAATAGAAAAATATGTAATCGTAAATTTTCATGTTTTTAAATAAATTTTTTTGAAATTTTCGTTTGTTGCAAAATATTTCGCATTAGAACGCGTACCCCCGCTAAACTGTTCCCGTACCCCTGGGGGTACGCGTACCACACTTTGGAAAACACTGCTCTAAGGTATTATAATAAAATTACGAAATTTTACCACATTTACCAAATTTTACTGCATATTATAAAGCAATATTTGCTTGCTAATTTTACCAAAATCGTTACCAAAGCGCTTCGATACAAATTACCGAGCTTTTTGGTGTTCTTATAGAGCCAGAAACACAGTAAATATTACCGTATTCTGGTAGTTTTGACCATACTTTTTTCTCAGGGTGATATAAACATTAAAGTTAAGCATTATATTGCTTCTAGACGGTTTTTATGGTAGATTTGAAATAGAACTTAATATTAAATCGTAAATGTTGGTCCTTAGATTGTTGTTCAATTGCATAAACAAACGGATCCAAAAGTATATTAGCTTTCTTTTGATTACTTGGTAAGATTACTGTATTGAAAATATTAAATTGCTTTTTAAACTTGCCTGTAAGCATGGAAAGTTAAAAAGAGAAGTTTGAATATTGTGTTGTTTCCAGAACTTTGAATCTCAGAATTTAAAATAAAACTTAATTTTAAATGGTGGTTAATGGCTGTTGAAATTGCAGCTTCATTGATATTAATAGTATAAACTCGTCAAAAAATACATTGCTTTGTTAGATTTTTTAGCTGAGCAACTGTTTTTAAAATCGAAAGAATTGCTGTTTAAATATGTTTAAAAACATCAAAAATAGAAAGTAGAAAAGATCTTTGAATGATAAATTACTTTCAGGCACCTATCACGCTGAAAATCTAAAATGGCAATAAATGTTTTTAAAGTGATAACTTATTTTAGATTAATAACTTAACTATGTTAACAGAAAAATAAATTCGGTTAATTGGATAAATTGGATGGAATATGTCAAAAATAATGACGAAGCCCTTTTGAACATATTTGTAATCTTTTAGATTAAATTCATCGCGATTCATACATGATTCATAATTTAAAACGTTTTTAGGGCATGCTTTTTATAGAGTGGTGTCAGCAAAAATAGCATTGTATTTTAAAATATAGCATACAGGAACGTTCATAAGCAGTTGTTTTAAGTTGTATGCAGTAATATAAAGTTAAGTAGTAATGTAAAAGTTTTTAATTGCAGCCAAAAACTTATTTTTTCTAATTCGAAAATGTTTTTTTCTTCTTCATTCTGTTCAAGTTTTAAACGAACTGAACGATGCTATATAAGATTGTAAAACGTTAAAACGTTAAAAAAAAATTAATCAGGGCAAAAACGTGTTTAAACAGAATACATTCTTTAACGTTAATGGTAGACAAAGAGCATCAACAAAATCACAATAAAAACGCCAACTAAAAACTTTAAATTTTTGTCATAGAAAACAATTTTCAATTGAAGGAACTGAAAAAGAAGGCCTAGTTAAGTTTTGAAATAAATAAATAAAAGCAAAATCCTGGAAAAGACGATTTTTTTCCTGCTTCGGAAGTAAATCTTTACCCACAGACAGTGGAAAAATGGGTGGGTTGACCCATTTTTTACAAGAATAATTATTTAATTTATTTACTGTCAAAATTGAAACATTTTCGGTGAAAGTATTCCATAGATTATAATATTTGTTATATATTTGCATTATTATTTTTTACCTAAATTATAGACTACGTTGAACAAAAATTATTTTTCAAAGATGCACATTCGCTAAATGAGAGTGATTTGTCTCCACTATAAAAGAAATAACAACAATTAAAAAGGTTTATATAACTCATAAATCAATAATTAAAAATTTACACTATAAAAAAAAATACCTGAACAGTTACCGGCACTCAGGATGCCAGTAGAATCAATTTTTAAAGTAAAATTTTATTCCGAAATTTTTACAGTAGTACTCACAGAATCACTGTAATTAAGTAAATATTTCTGCAAAAAATTACAGAATAAAATTTTACGGTAAAAGAGGATTAAACGGTAAAAATGGATTTAACGGTAAAAAGCAATGATACCCTAAGTGCCCGTATTTTTTGTAGTAATTTGCCGAATTGCAATATAATTACAGACTCCCAGTACAGCCGGTACTTTATACAGTAAAACGAACAGAAACAAATCCGAACTGAAATCGTTTATGAAGTATAGTTAAGTATTTGAATTGTTAATTGATAGTTTGTAACAATAAACTGATTTGTATGACAATTCCAATGTTAGTTTTTTAATTTATTTTTTGGTTTGCATTTTAATTTGCATTGTCATGTTTACTTTTTTTCTCTTCTTGAGCCCCTTCACAATTATAATATTTTTAACAATAACGATTTTTAACATTAACAATAACAATTTATAATATTTTTAAAATTTAATTTATTTCGTTACAGCTAAATCTGAAATTCGAAAATTTTCCAAAGTATGATTTCTAGAGTGAAATAAAAAGTGTAAAGCAACTATTTCATCAACAGTATTTTTTAAACATATTGCATTATGGAGCATTTATAAACAGTTTTTTTTTTAATTGTAAGCAACATAAAATAAACGTAAACGCCAACAAATTATTAATAATTTTATTTGAAAATGTTTCTCAATTTTTTTTCTAGTTTTAAAAAAATATTTTAAGTGCTATACAAGGTTGGAAAACTTTATAAAAAGTAAGTTTTGCAAATTACATGTTAAAAAATTGTTTAAATATTCTTTACGAGGACTTGTACATTCGTACAGGTATTTTGACAATATCAGCTATGTCAGCTATCGTTTCAAAATCCTTGATTGGAGCCAAACCACCCCTATAGCCATTTTATAAAAAAAAGAGAGAAAAAAAAATTAATTTTGAAAGTAATAATAAGCAATTAGTACATTAGATATTCATATAAGAATCTAAATGTGCAGAGAATTCATTTTGTTTAAATTGTTTATGCATGTTAATGACAAATGGCACAGGTAAACAAAAGCAAAGAAAATCGGAACAAAAAAATTCTTAATGAAAATTAAATTGCGTGAGATTTCTTCTTGAATTTATATGCGAATGTCTGAATAGATAGAAAAAAACAACAATGTGTTTTTGCTTAATGCCATGTTACAATCTGTTCATTTGTCTAATAAATGTTAAAATATTAATTTAATCCAATTTACACAAAATTTCTGGAGAAAGAAACAGGTAAAAACACACGGAAACTTTTTATTTTTGAAATCAATAAGCCTTTTTTCTTTAAAAATGGGGAAAATACCATACATTCATAAAAAAAAGAGTTAGTCACCTGACAACAATCGCCATTCAAAGAACTATAATGGGCACTGACCGGTACAGTTCTTGACAAACATGGGGAACAGATAAAAATATTCCTCCTCAAAAATAATTTGGTCTGTAATTATATAGTGCACGTTGATGACTTACTCTAATATAGTAATGATATAATAGTAAATATCCTCAATTTTATGAGAATAAGTAATTCGATTTTCATATTAGCATAAAAAAAGATAAAATTGTTCACATATTAAGAATGAAGTGGGATACGTTTTCATGCTCCTAATCGTCTTATTCACGTTAACGCCAGTGTAACAGGCATTGCTCATGATAACCTTTTGTGCATTCAATGAAACTTTTATTCTTTTCCTTTTGAGTTCTTATTGATTGTAAACAACTATTTGGTTCTGACGCTTAATGACAGCGTTGTTCAAACTTCTCTCTATTATTACACATGGAATAATATCTTTATTTCACCTCGTCAATAATGTATGAAAAGTGTTGACAAATGTAATCAATTACTGTTTTATCAAACTTTAGAATAATCCGATTTGAATTGTTATTTTTTTTAAATTTATTTAATTTTTTTTTTGTTTCTAGCGGTAGCACTTGATGTGTACATCATTCGCTGGAGAAAAAACACTCCGCACAAACCCATAAAGATTAAAAACAACTTTAAAAAATTTTAAAACATTAAAACATTTGAAGGACAAAAACAATTGGAACAAATAAACATTAAATAGAATATCAACATAAGCAATGTAAACAGAAAATCAGTCAGTTAGTAGTGCTTGCAACTGTTCTCTAGTATTCCAGTATCTGTCATAGATGCTGCCAGTAACTGCGGGGCAAACCCCCAGATGCTCAGTATTCATTGGGGTGTCCTCCCCGCACAAGACACAGGATCGGGAAAGATTTTAAGTCTATACAGGTGAGCGGCAAGGCAGTCGTGCCCTGTTTTGATAGTTGTAAATTTATGAACTGAGACATGTTTTTCTCTGGCTACTTTTAATTACGCCTTTATATTGTTCTCAGTTGCTCAGAACTTCAGAATTACCCACCAATATGAATGCAGATCCTTTTTCAAATCGACATGATTTAAAAAAAAAAAAAAAAAAACTATGGTATTTGACATTTTTTTTACCGCTTTCGGTCATATAAAACTTCAGATTCGTTAAAACTGAATACCCGTAAATTTACGGATACAATTTTTTTTACTCTATTCGAAAATGTATCTGTTAAAATTATAACCATATTAAATAATCCAATTTTAATTGCTGTGAATTTATAAACTGGGGCATATTTTTTTCTCGCTACATTTAATTGCGCTTTGATATTTTTCTCAGTTACTCAAAGCTTCAGAATTACCCAATTTGAATGTCTGTAAGTTTTTTGATAAAGGTATGATTTTAGAAAAGAAAAAAAAAACTGTTCTGTCTAACACTTTTTAGGTTAGATAAAAGTTCAGATTCATTTAAGCTGAATGTAAGTAAATTTATGGATATAATTTTATTGCTGTATTAAAAATATTGTATTTTTTAAAATTTTAGCTATATTAAACAATGTTTTGTTACTGTTCTCAGTCTCATAAAACTTGAGAATAAGCTCAGTTCCGCGACTAGGAGCTTTTGGTACTCTCTCAAAATTCCTTTAACTTTTAAAAGGTAAGCAACTTTTTAAACGCTCCAGTTCAGAGTTTTCACGAGGTGTAATTGTTTTTTTTTTATTTTTTTATTATTTTTATTATTTATTTTTAATGAGGATTTTTTTATCAATATTTTAAATAATTCCATCAGAAAAATAAACTTGAAGAGTTAAGATCTTAATGAAAGCAAATTAAACTATCATCTAATAATCAAAATGAATTAATGATGAATTAATGAAAACAAAATCAGCACAAAATTGTTTGTTTACAAAGGAAGGAGAGAATATCTCCATTTTTTTTCTTCATAAGATTGAAACTAATTAAATTTTTTTTGTCTGTTTTCGAACGGTATCGCAGGAAAAACTTGGAGCTCGCTACAAAATCTCCAAGCCAGGGAACTAACCCATACTTTATCAGAATGCCTGCAAATTATACAGACACGATTTCTTAATTATTTAAATTTTTTTACAAATTAAGTTTGTTTAAATTTGCTAAGCAAGCGAACATATGCTGGAAATAGTTCACGCGCATTAGACATTTTTATCACTTATATTTCTTATGAAAATTTATTTTTTCAATATTAATCTTGTTAGAGCCCTGATGGCTCAGGGGATAGAATGAGGTGAACTGGTTTCAAATCTCAGCGATGGCTGGTCGATACGAATTTCGCATCCGGCTTGCACCAACCACAGTGCTGAAGTGAAATATCCTCAGTGGTAGACGGATCATGGGTTAGATTCCCTTGTTGTCAGGATAACCGTGGGAGGCTCTCGTGGTTCTTCCTCTCCATGTATCGCCAGAGCGGGTTAGTTCCATCCAAAAAAGTCTTCGACAAAGGCAAATTTCTCTCAATACTTGATCCAGGAGTTCCCTTGTCTTCTAGATTGGGGCTCAAAATTGCAAGGCTACGGAATTGAACATTAGCAGTCGCAAACCCAAAAATTGGGTCTGCTGTTCAACGACGGCAATAATATAAAATAAAATTAATCCATTTAAAAGACTGCATTATTTGTTTTTCTAAACATTTATGATAATAATAAGAAAATTTAGCGTTGATGATTGATTGATATTAACAATGCGTCTTTTTGAGAAATCTTCCTTATTTATCTCGAGTTCAATGGATTTATATTGATTTCTCAGAGACTTAAGAATTCAAAACGCATTTAAATGTACTATGTCAGCGGTAAATCTAGAGTTGTTAAATCATTCAATTAAATTGCATAATATAATAATTTCTTTTCTTGTGTGATCATTGGCGCATGCAAAACACATTGCATGCAATGCTACAAATAAATGAACAATGCTAACTAAATGAGTTGAAATAATCGCAAATCTAGCATTTGGTAATGCTAGTATTATGAATATTTTTCAAGTTTAATGTAAAAATTGCGATTCGGTTAAATATATTAATATTTTTCAAAGCCGTATTATACTTTATTTTCACAGTTAATTAAAAATCTTCTATTGCAGTAGTTTTTAAGTTGTGTTTCATGTAAAATCTAATTTTTACATGTTTTTTTTAATAAATATATCTAGAAAACATAAATGCCAAGGGTGCTTTTATATTAATATTAGAGAATAAATAACCTAACAATACTTAGTAATTTATTTTAAGTTGATTGTTCTCTACTGTTAAATAATAGACTGTATTTTCTATTACAAACATTTGCATTAAACATTCACATTTCATGGAACTTAAAAAATATTTATCACAGAAAAATTTGCAACTCAAAGATAAAAATTTTGCATTCAATGTCATAAATTAAGTAATTTCTAGATTGTTATTGTTCATTTCATTTACAAAATTCTTAAATTTCGGACTTACTGTGAACTAAAGTAAAAGTTGTCATAAATGAAGTAATTTCTAAATTGTTATTGTACATTTCATTTGCAAAACTATTAAATTTTGGACTTACTGTAAACTAAGAAAAAGTGGTCATAAATAAGGTAATTTTTGAATTGTTATTGCTCATTTCATGTGCAAAAATATTAAATTTTGGACTTACCGTGAACTAAAGTAAAAGCTGAGTTCTGATTTAATTGTTCTTCAGATGCTTTTTTACGCCGTTTGTCAGCCATTAATTTTGCCGTTTTTCTGCGACGCGTTTCAATTTTATTACATCCAGGAGTTCTGCAGTTTTCCCATCTGCAGTGTCTTTTGTGGTCTTTTAAATTATTATCAACACCGTGATTTTTACATTTTGCACATTTTGGTGACTGCTTTACCCGTTTGAGTTGCTGAGCTTTCTCTTCATCAATTGTGTTTGTGTCATTTGACATTTTATCTTGATGATATTTTTGACTTTTGACATCAGATATAGTTCCTGAAGAAGAATAGAACTTTTTTTTTTGCTGCCAACCGGAGCGTTAAGTTTGTACCACGAAGTATTTTTAAAAATTGTGAACTCTTCCGACTGTAGATGAAAAAGGATTGTTACTGATGGTAAAAATAGTTATTCTTAGATAGTTTACAGCGCCACTTTGTGTCTAGATTTCTTTCCATTGGCTGGGTTTTCTAGTTTGCTTTGCATAGCCCCAGTTTAAGAGGGGGGGGGGGAGGTCTAGTTGAGTTATGCCCAATTTGTTATTTCGTTAATCGTCGCTAGCTAGAAGGATTATTTATTCACAATTCTCTTTTGATTAAATGTTTATAAAATTGAGAATCAGAGATCACACATTAAGCATAGCGAAATATAATATTATAAACAATTGTTAGAAATTGCAGAGCGTGTTGTACCATGATATTGTTCAAATTGTCTGCAACTGAAAAAATGGTTTTCAATTGAATTATATATCATCGTTGAAGTTAAATCCTTTTCAAATTCGATTTCATGATACCATGGTTCAAATTGAATGGTTCACCTTATACTATAGTTCAACTTAAGACTTCATTAAAATTGCAGCACATTTGCATGATGTTGTAATTTTAATACGGAAAAAAAATTCTAATTACCATACTAAATTGTAAATCTAAACATTTCGAATTAAAAAATAAATATGTAATACTGTTTAATGAAAAGTTTAAGTACCGTATATATTAGTACAATATATACGGTATTTAAACTTTTCATTTGGTAATTTTTCCGTCCATATGGTAAAAGTTTTTGGAAAATTCTGGTTTTAAAAATTATAGATCTTATTTTACAATTAGTAAAAAATACAAAACTGAAAGGTAAATCTAACAGAAAAAATGCTTTTTTTTTTTTTTTTTTTTTTTTTTTTTTTTTTTTTTTTTTTTTTTTTTTANTAACAAAGTTACCAAATTTTATTACAAGTTATAAAACCATGTTTAATTGTTAATTTTACCAAAATCATTACCTAAGCGCTTTATGAAAAATTAACTAGCCTTTCGGTGTTCCAATAAAGTTCTGTATTAGGTAAGAAAATGTGGAAGTTAAAATAATAACTTTATTTTAATCATTCCTTCCAATTATTAGACTGAAACTGCATACTGGTATGCATTATATCCATTTTGGTCTTAGGTACAAGCATCATACTTACATTAATTATGAATTTTATCTTAAAAAAGAAACGTTTAAAAAAATGGCATCAGTAAAGTATCATAATTTTATCCTTACGTTTAGTTATTCCTTTTTCTTATTAAATCAAAACAACATACAAGCATTTATAATATCCTTTTTATACTTAGGCATAAGCAAAATATTTTTATTAATAATTAGTGAATGTCGTCTCGTACTTTATCAATACTTTAGATAAACGTTAAGAAAATGGCAGCCTTATACATTAAAACAATGACTGGTTAGAATGAAAAAGGATATAATGCTGTACATCGTAACCTTATCCTTACATTACAATAATTCCTTACATCATATAAATTAAAACCACACACAAGCATCTATCATATCCATTTTGAACTGAGGTGCCATCATAATTTTCATATGAACGTTTTAACCCAAGCGAATAAAAAAAGAAAGAAATGTTAAAATATTACAATGTTATCCATAATTCTAACTATTTCTTATTCATACTAAATTTAATCAACACACGAGCACACAAGATATTCATTTTGAACTTATCCATTTAAAGTTTAAATACGCAAACGCAAAAAAAAAAGGAATGTTAAAATTTTATAATGTTATCCTTGATTCAAGCCATTTCTTATTCTTACGAAATTAAAACTACACACAAGTATACATGATATTCATTTTGAACTTATCTATATGAACGTTATAACGCAAACGTATAAAAAATGCAAATGTTAATATATCATAATATTATCCTTAATTCTAATCATTCCTTATTTTTACAAAATTAATACTACACACAAGTATACATGATATTCATTTTGATCATATCTATATGAACGTTATAACGCAAACGTATAGAAAAAAATGCAAATTTAAAAAGATTATAGTGTTATCCTTAATTCTTCCTTATTCTTACAAAATTGAAACTACACGCGATCATACATGATATTCATTTTGAACTTATCTATATAAACTTTATAACGCAAACGCATAAAAAAAGGCAAATGTTAATAAATCATTATGTTATCCTTAATTCTAACCATTCCTTATTCTTGCAAAATTAAAACTACACACGAGCATACATGATATTCATATTGAACTTATCTATGCGAACGTTATAACGCAAACGTACAAAAAAATACAAATTTTAAAAGATTATAATGTTATCCATAATTCTAATCATTCCTTATTCTTACAGAATTGAAACTACTTACGAGTATACGTGATATCCATTTTGATCTTATCTATATAAACGTTACAACGCAAAGGTATAAAAAAATGCAAATTTAAAAATAATGTTACCCTTAATTCTTCCTTATTCTTACAAAATTGAAACTACACACAAGTATACATGATATTCGTTTTAAACTTATCTATGTGAACGTTATAACGCAAACGTATAAAAAAATGCAAATTTTAAGAGAATAATGTTATCCATAATTCTAACCATTCCTTATTCTTACAGAATTGAAACTACTTACGAGTATACATGATATCCATTTTGATCTTACTTTGAATGTCAGCATGCATTTTGGCCATGATGTGTTTCGATAAATCAATAATCTCCCCAGGTTTCAACCTCCCTTCTTTTATCAATTTCAGTCTTTCAATTTCTTGTTCTCGTTTGAATTTCGTTTCAATTTTCGAATTAGCACGCCTATCTTCGGTGATGCCGCATATATAACATTTGCAATTCTTGTATGGGCAACCTCTGTCTTTGTGGTGCAGCACATTGTAGAATGCACCGTGATTGCTACATTTTGCACAGTATGGTTGCTTGCGTTGCTTCATACCCTCTTTTGACACCGGTGTCGGGTAGTTACCAGCCATGCTTTTTTTTTTTAATCAACAGAAAAACCCAGGCTGAGTTACGCGACAATTCTGTTACTTTGCTCTGAATAGTGAAATGAGCGACTGAAGAGAGCAGCGCCACAACTGTGGCTGTCATCCAAGAGATCGTTCCGCTAAAAATACAAGACTTTTTAAACTTGTGACTCATTTAAATGAATTTTGTTACTGAGAACAACACTTTTTGTGTTCGTTAAGTTAGTCCGAATCATTAGGCGACGACTTGCGAAACGCTAAGATATGACCGAAATATAAGACTGACCAAAAATTGGATGTAAATATGTATTTCTCTTTAATAGCAGAAATTCTTAAGTACGGCAGCGGACGCTGTAGATTATTACAAGAACTGCAGATTTTTTTTCATACTACTACATATATATATATATATCAAAATTAAAACTACACACAAGTATACATGATATTCATTTTGAACTTATCT